TTTACAACGTATTAAACGTGGTAATTCAATGTACTTTGTCCATTCTTGAATAAAAACTACTGGAACTTCAATGAGTGGTCTAATGAATTTAACACCATATTTTTCTGTGGTGAACTGAGCAGGAATGCCTGCAATACAACCACAAAACATTTGGTTCATTAATAACGTTTCAGCAACATCATCCATATGATGTCCTAATGCAATTGAAGTATATCCATGTTCTTTTGCATATTCTAACAATGCCCTTCTTCTATTTTTTCCACAGTTTAAGCAAAATGTAGTGTTTTTATCAGCATCTTCAATATCAAATCCACTTACAGGCTCTGACTCAAGAGTGATAAAAGGTATTCCTACAGACTCACAAAGTGCCTTAGAGTCTTCAATATTAAGTTGATACCCAACTTGCTCATTAGTGACATGAACAACTAAGATGTCAAGAGGAAAGTGACTAGTTTTTCCAAGTGTTGAAAGGACATGGACTAAAAGAAATGAATCTTTTCCTCCTGAAAAACCAATAATAATTTTATCATGAGGGGCAACAATCTTTTCACGTTCATTCATTTTCCAAAATTTAGTATAAATTTTCTTGAATATTTTCTTTTCTCCAACAGGTATTTTGACTGTACTCATTTAGGTATGGAATTTTTTGATTTGTATTAAGTTTAAAAAGGGTTATTTAGTATATTAGATTTTGTATGAAACATCTAAAAATAAATACTTAAAAGTTGAATGATTATTCAAATGATGGTAATTTCCATGTTGTTATCATATTATAAGGCTCTGGTATTTCTTTTATTGATATTCCATCATCTGAAAAGTCTTCTGGTAATTGAGGAATTGGTGAATATCTACAACCAGAAGTTGTAATTAAACAATTATTATAATAAAATACATCATTAATTGGAGAGTCTATATCTTAAGTTTATATATCAAAGTTAAGAATAAAAACAAACATGCAAGGAAATATGATGATTTAAAGGTAAAAGTATTCAAGTCATAAAGATAAACACATCCATTATCATTTCCAGTAAAAAGAGTGGAATGATATATATTAATTCCTATTCGTTGATTTGTTAACGCAGACCTAGATAATGTTGCAATAACTGTATTTATATTTCTAATATCAAATACATATATTTTATCATCTTTACGAGTACCAATAATCAAAAAGTTATCATTAAATATTTGTAAAGAATTTATTTCTTTCTTTAATTGAATTTTTTGGATTATTTGCATTTCCTCACCTCCAAGAAGAACAATATCTCCTTGATAAGTAGAACAAACAATATAATCACTCCAACCATATTGAGCCATTGAACAAACTGTTCCAATTTTGATTCTCTTAGAATATTTTGGTTCAAAATAATCAAAAGAATACTTAAACACTAAAGAAGAATGATAAGCATAAAACCCTTTGTCACTTTCAGTAAAAATACAATTTGAATTTGGTAAAGGATTGTATGAAGCTAATGGTTTTGATTTGAGTTGATTTAATAATTGAATTGGTTGAGAGTGTTGATGACAGAGAATACCATGAGATGTGCTTATCATAGAAGAGACAACTGGTTTTATATCTTCTATGACAGGTTGTTGTAAGATACCATTAGAGTTTATAAAAGAAGAAAGGAAAGAGTGATTATCTGTGATAGTGATTAAATGATTATTATGAATGATACTTTTTAGAGGAGGTGCTTGAAGAATTGAAGAATATAACAATTGAGGATTATTCATTCTGAAAAATCAAAAAGATAAAAAAGAAGATCTGTTTCTAAAATAAAAAATGATTAAAAAACAATGAATTAATCTTGATTCTTACCACAAAATTCTAAAATGCATTTTGATGAGAAAGGAAGTAAAGAAAATGAATAAAATATTGTTGTTGCAATTTGAATGATTAAGAAAAATAAAACAACTATAGAATTTTTAAATAAGAATAATCCAAGTATTGTCATTGTTAAACAACAAAGAAATATTATTGCACAAAGCAAACGAAGTGGTTGTTTAAGTAATTTAAATTGAGTTAATGGAGAGTATAAGAAAAATGTTCTAAATTATAAATATAATTTAAAGAATTTAAATATGAATAACAAACGCTAAACTAATTAATAATAATCCTAAAGAATAACAAATCATAAATAAATATGGAGCAGCAACAAAGACTAAAATAAATGGGAATGTAACTAACCAAAAGAATATAGCAATTGAAAATATTAAAAAGAATGTAATAATTCTATTTCTTGTTGATAAATGAAATCCAAGTTTGTCACATGGATTTTCTATTGTAAAAGAAGAAGTATCATCAAAATCTGACTGTGGAATAAGTGGATCTTCAAGCATAGAATCTCATTTTTAGTTCATTTTCTTTTCCAGAATTTTTGAATTATAAAATTATAATATATTATTACTTAATTAATTATAAAATTATAAAATAAATATAATAATATTATTTTATTATAATAACAATACAATAAATTAATTCTGTTGATGTTGCATAAAAAATTGAACAAAAGAATGATATGGTTCTGTAGGAGAATTAGAAGATGTTGTAACTTGTTTTGATTCTTCTGTGTGTTTTGGAGATAAGTTAGGAGAATAAGAAGGAGAACTAGAAAAACATTGACCATTTGGATTACATTCTGATATTGATTTACATGAAAGAGCCTTCAATGATTCTCTTGATAAAGCACGAAGCCTACGTGGGGATGTAGGTTTAGAAAGTGTAAGAACTGGAGTAGAGAATTGAAAATGTGGAGTTAAAGAAGGAGTAATTGGTTGACTTAATGATTCATTTAATTTTGGTTTGAGGTGAGGGGTAGTTGGTAATAAATGTTTATTAACTGAGATACTAATACGGGAAGGGTTTTCATAAAGTTTAAAATAATAATTTGGTAAATAACAATCTTCATTTGAAATATCAATATTATGTAATGATATATTATATACTAGTAATGTTGAATGATCTAATTTACCAGGTGAAACAATACATGACCGTCTTTTTAAGGTAGAATGTAACTCTGCTAATTTATCAGTTAAATTGATAATATGTTCACTTAGTTGTTGAACACAATCACCAATACTGACTGATTGTTTAATAATTGGTGAAATTATCGAATTAACATAATTTTCTTTATCACTTGTAATACGACATATGTCTGGATCAAAATTATCATGAAATCCATCTGTCATCATAAGAAGAATATCATTTTCTTTGACATAACGTCCTTTTAGTTCTACATGTCTTAACGATGGATTTTTTCCTTCTGCTGGTCCAATAACTCCTCCACAGTCATAAGTTGCTGTTCCTTTTCTATTATCACCAATTATTGAGTCTGTATGTTCTATTTCATGTGAATATAAAAATGCTTGACAATCTCCAATTGATATTACAAGTGCATAAGGTTGTTGAGTACGTAACGTAACTATAATAGATATTAACAATGTTGTTGTACCTGTTTCTAATAATGAACTGTCTGAGTTAAGTAAAATTGAAAGGTGA